TTGCAATATTCCTAAAGCCAGACCCTGACAAATCTTCAAATAATCATAGTTTCTTTAAGTAACTCACCACCCAGCTGTTTTGCGACTTCTTTCTCCAAGCCTTTTTGACAGAGGAAACGGAAGATTAGAATAGGGCCCTATCGTCCTGGCTAAAACCTCTCGGATCGAAGGCTTGTTGCTTTTTAGAACGCGGTTTTTCATCACTGCTACTTTGAATGATTGCTGGAACAGGCACCACACTGATTAATACAAGTAAGACATATTCACTAATATTTTGAATTCACCAAACATCGAGATGGCGCATACGTCTCAATTTACAGACCAATCGGAAAAACTTCTTTAACACAGCTTAGTTGCGATCGCGCGTCTAAGATACACGTTGATGGCGTTTAGAAGAGAGAATCATCTGACTTTAACCTAGTTAGGTCAATGCGGCTGAAAAAGCATGTCAGTTTACCTACTCTAGTGTAATATCTAGCAACTTTAACGTTTTGCCCGGGGAGCTGCTTGATAATGCTATAGCTTGGTCAATAGCGCAATCGTGAGATAGTATTGATTTCTGCGCTCACTCCTAAGAGTATACAATTTTTCTCGCGTATAAAAAAAGCACCATAAACCGGATCCATGACTATCACTCAGAGTTGCTATGGGATGGAACCCAAATACGCGAAGGTAACGTGCTCAGTTACGCAGGCTGTGACACAGCGGCACGGCGCCCTCGAGGCTATTCAGTCGCTGAAAAGAAAATCTTTCTGGCGTATCGCCTTATACATACATAATATTAAGCGCGAGAGATAGCTAGTGAAGGGCCGAATCACACATGCTCTCAACAAGGCGTCATGTATCGCCAGGTCTGAGGCTCACGTTGACATTTACATTGAGAGTACTATGGCCAACACTTACCGACACTTTACCTTCCAAGTTGTAAAGGAGGAAGCACTTATATGAATAAGTAACGACGCCAATAATCTCTTGCAACAAGTTGCACACGACCTTACGCATTGTGCTTTTTAGTGTTGTAGGCGTTATTACGGTCAATCCTCATGTCTATGGTATAGACATATATATAACTATGTTCTCTCTTATATTTTCCGTTCTTTCTCAACAGGAGCAACAGAGTCTAAAATTTTAATTCGCAAGCGCATCTGTAGCATATCAATCAACGATGATCAATTTGGGTGGTGTAAATTTTGTATAAGTTCCTCCCCTTAGCATGCCAGACCATGCTATCGAGTTAAGATATTGGTGGAATCTCTCCTTAAAATTTGGCTATAGCACTAACAGATATGGTTTCTGGCTGCCAGAGCCTTTTGGACTAATGCTTTGTAGTCTAGTAAGCAGTAGATTCAAAAGTTAGCTAAAAGAAAGTGGTCGGATAAAGGCCAGGATTAATGGGCGGTTTCGACCTGAATAGTTGCTCAGTTTGCTCAATTTCAATACGCATAAATCAGTAAACCAAAGGTTGAGAGTGTGATTATACGCAGTGGGTTGGGTCTTATTTACACCTCCTGACAGAAACCAAACAGAATCTAATATAGAGTTAAATGGCAACAGTAAGGGCTATTTTTAATCAATCCCGTCAACATTGAATATTAAAGTCACCTTACGATAAATTACTTGTAACTCTGTTTTAAGTACCAAAAGTTGATAAAAACTCCCAGAGAATTCTGATAAGTAATTCTGAATAAGGACGCGCTGGTGCAGCGGTACACTGTAAGCAATAAGATTGGCTCGCAAAAGTTTTCCGGCAGGTCGGATGCGTAAGACTAAAAATCGAGGCTTTCAAAAGGAGTATATTAAATTTTTGTTTATATGATAAGTAAACTTGAGTCAAAAGATTGGCTGCAACTTACCACCTCCTCCGGGCCCGTGCCTCGGGCAATATGAGTATTGAATATGGCTGGGTGAGTGGCCCAACTCCCATTGTATGCTGACATATTCTTCAGGTCACCCCCCCCCCCCCAACCAGCCACTCAACCAAGTTTCAGTGAGAACAGGCATATATCCAAACTAATTATAACTGATATTAAATCATTTAGCCAATATTGGCCTTTAGATGCTATGAGATCTATGTTTAAGAGACGCACATTTAATCTTCCTTGTTTGTTGGCATTGTAGTAGTTGTTACATTTACTTTTTATTAGGGTTATTTGATGAACACCTCCTATTAAGCGTCTTTACGCTTAAATGTCCTGGGCAGACACAGCACACGTTAATATTGGGTATTTTATTGGTTCGGGATTCCTATGGATGACTTGCCTAGGAGAGACGCCAGAGTAAGAGCTGCGACTATGGGGCCTCCTGGTCTGCCAACTCCAGTTTGTCATGGATTAAGTCGGCACAAAGCCCTGAAATGTTTGGGCCGAAATGAGATTTGCACCCTTCCAAAGTAGGATGAATGCCGTCTCTCTTCCACCAATCTTAATCAGAACTATATGACCACACAGTCATCGAGCAGCTCCTCTAAATTACAATGGTAGAACATTTCAAATGATGCACTATCATCTGTATTAAATTCTGTGCCCCACTAAAATAAAAATAAATCGACAAGTAAAAAAACTCCTACGGTTGAACTATACATGGTGTCAAGCGAAGAAAAAAGGATGTGTGGCAGAGAAAAATGGAGAAAAGAAAAAATTGTGTGATACAAAAGATGCTTTAACCGCATATAACAAGAACCACCGACTAGCAAGGAAATGATTATTTTTCCAAATATTATCACAGAAAATGGCAGGACATTCCAGAGTCCTTTTTCTCCCCACATAATCGATGCAGCACTGCTAAACACTGTGTCTGCCCCCCCCACCCCTCCTCCTAACAGCTAAAAGGTGAGGAAATTTGCTCCAGTTTTTTTATAAAAACGAAAAAAAGAACAAATAACTTCAATCAGAAGCTAACGTATCAATACTAGTGGAGGCTGGAGAATGAAAGCCGATGCTCCCAGTAGAGTATAATAATGTAACCATGAGTACTTTACATGCATCAGCACACTAAGCAAACCTGTGTAAAACTGTCCTCCAGAAAGCAAAAACTCCACCAACCTCAGCCATTGATCCTATCCCCAGACAAAAATTCTTTAAGCGAGTGTTTGATCGCATCTCCAGTCCAGTCCTGGACATTATAAACACATCCCTTAAAACTGGCGTCTTCCCTGATGCCTTTAAAACAGCTGTTGTAAAGCCTCTATTAAAGAAACCTAAATTGGATAACAACACAGTAGCAAACCACAGACCAATATCAAATCTACCATTTATCAGTAAAATATTGGAAATAATCGTCTCAGTCCAAATAAATTCCTATCTTAAAGAAAACAACGTCTTAGAAGTATTTCAGTCGGGTCTCAGAAGATACCACAGTAAGAAAACTCCACTCACAAAGGTAATTAGTGACCTCAGACTCAACTCTGATGCAAATAAAATCTCCATCCTTATCCTATTAGATCTCAGTGCAGCTTTTGATACTATTGATCACAACATCCTAATAAATCGACTTGAAAAGCTTATTGGTTTCTCTGGTTGCGTGTTGAACTGGATCAAAACATATATCAGAGGAAGGATGTTCTATATTAGTCTAGGAGGCCATACATCAGAGAAACATGAAAGCCGCTACGGGGTTGCACAAGGGAGCTGTTTAGGTCCATTACTCTTTTCTCTCGGCAACATCATCAGAGAGTATGGTATAGATTTCCACAGCTATGCGGATGATACACAATTGTACATATCGGCTGAACCAAATGATGTAACAGCCATAAACTCCATTACCAACTGCCTGACAGCAATAAACAAATGGATGAACGATAATTTTCTTAAACTGAATGAGGACAGAACTGAAGTCCTACTTGTTGGCCCCAAATCAAAAAGAGAGATGCTAACAAATAATCTAGGAAGCTTAACCACTTGGATTAAACCGGAGGTGAGAAGTCTCGGTGTCATCCTGGACTCAGATTTGAACTTCAACGCCCATTTAAACAAAGTGACCAAAATAGCTTTCTTTCATCTCAGAAACGTAGCGAAGGTACGACCATTCATAAATCAAAATGATGCAGAGAAGCTAATTCATGCTTTTATATCTAGCCGACTAGACTACTGCACTGCACGATTCACTGGTCTCCCCAAGAAAGCTATGGGAAGACTCCAGCTCATTCAAAACCCTGCAGCTAGACTACTAACGAATACCAAAAGGAGGGAACACATTAGTCCTGTCTTAGCTACTCTACACTGGCTTCCTGTAACTTTTAGAATTGATTTTAAGGTGCTTCGCCTCACATACAAAGCTCTAAATGGACAAGGACCCAGCTACATTGCTGACTCTCTAATAAACTACACACCCGCCAGAACACTGCGATCATCAGATGCAGGTCTATTAGAGGTCACCAGAAAGAGTCATAAGAAGATCGGTGAAGCAGCCTTTGTAAGCTACGCCCCAAAACTGTGGAACACATTACCAAACAATATTAGGGAAGCCAATACGTTAGGTTTTAAGCTGCCTTTTAAAAATGCCTATCTCTTTACCAAAGCATTTTACTAATTTTACACTATTATACTGCACTATTCTCTGTGATTGACATTGCACTATTTCTCTATGTTTTATTCTCCATGTTTTTATTTTTTATTATTTTATCCCATTTTATGCTTTGCTCTTGCTGCTTGTTTTACACTGATGTTATGTCTTATTTCTTACTGATGTAAAGCACTTTGAACTTCAATCCCCTGTATGAAAGGTGCTATACAAATAAAGTTATTATTATTATTATTATTATTATTATTATTATTATGCTTGCTAGCTAGCTAGCTCAACGATTCCTTAAATAATATTGCGACAGAAAAACGTTTCAGTTAACATCACGCTCTGCCGCTTCGACAGGGACCCTTTTCAGTACGCTTTACATTGACTTTCAACGCAGTTTATATTAAATGTAAATACATAGATTAGGCGGGCTCTTATTTAGA